TCTAATAAATAAAACAGCATGGGAGTGACCTAAGGCCCTTGTGACACAATGAAAAATCCCTGTGTTGGGGAATTTTTACCTCCATGAGTTAAAATCATGTGAGAGAGTCTGTGTGTGTAACGGGGATTTTCAGTTTTGCCTTATTAGAGATACTTAATAGGAAAAGAACAGAGTAAAGAAGAAAAATTTCTGAAAGAGTGGTTCGGCTACATTAGTGTGGGGTTTAGAGGCTTTTATTTTTGAGATGCAGTTTGAGATGCATTTGGCCTAGTCATGGCAGCTGACAAGACACACAGCTCAGCGGGACAATGCTAAAGTACCACTGTTAAAGTTCACGTAGCTAGTACTCGCAGGACTGGGCTGGCCCCAGTTTCATGCACACTCTGGCAGCTGGGGCTCGGGTCTCCTACCGCAGCATCACCTCCAGCCTGGGGACTCCCACTCAGGCTGCCCTGTGTGGGCACGGGCACAGCTGGGCCAAACCTGGGCTCCGGGCCTGTGCAGGTGACAACTGAAGTGAGGGACAGTGCTGTCCCCCTCCTAAATGGGGACAGAGGGGCTAGGCAGGGCCATGCACGATAAGGACTGCGTGTTGTGTCGGCTGGTGGTAAGAACTTAAAGCTTTCTTATGCACTCTTTCTCCACAGTAAATCCATGCTTGAAGAGGGGATCGAAATCCTTTGAATTGTAGTGCTAATGGTGCTGTTGATTAGATGCACATTTCTTTCACGGCCACTTTTATTTGTAATGACTTTTAATGCGTGTGAAGTATGACAGGAACCTCAAGCCTCACCCAGCTGTGCGGTGCAGCTAACCGCGAAACCGAAGTGCTATCGCTTCATCTTCGCCCCGTTCCTCCCTCCTGGGAGGCTGCGGCAGTGCCCGGCTCTGCCAAGCACAGCGGCACGCTCTCCCAGCGAGTCCGCCCTGCTTCAGGCTCGGCAAGCTTGCGGATTGTCGAACTGATAGTCTCTGCGTTAAATAATTATTCTGCTCGCAGGCAAGCGTATCGTATAACATAATCTGATCGAGCGTCACCTTAGAACCAGTTTGATTTCTTGCACCCACTCCTGAGGAGAGGCTGTGCCAGAAAACTCCCTTTCCTCCTTACTGGCTGACCCCTACTCATTTCTGAGCTGAATTTTATTCACGGCCACTCTACAGCCATTTGTTCTTGTGCCAGCATTGTGTTCTAGCTTGAACAGCTCTTCTGCTTTGATGTACTTCAGGAGGCGAGTATATCCCTGTCAGTCCTCATATTACTCCACGTTAAAGAAACCAAACTCTTTTTGTAAGGTCTCCTGCTCTGCTGCAGGCTGCCCCTGCAGCCGTACGAGCGTACCTGGGGCTGTACTGAAGAGATTGTACGTTTGATAGAGTGGGGGGCACTCTGGGAGCCGGGCCCCTTTGCTTTCCCGCCCAGCACAGCAGCCCCTTCCCTCAGGCCGGGGACTGGAGGGGCAGCGGCACACGGAGACCCGGCACCCTCTCCCCGCTCGCCCTTCCGTTTCACAGGTGCAAAGCAAAGGGGAAAAAAGCGTGCATTTCTCTATTAAAAAAACCCAAACAAACAAAACCCCAAACCAACAAATCGGGGCCGCCCGGGAACGGTGCTTTTGAGTCCCCCCAGCGCCTGCTCCACACCACCGCCCCGTCCC